AAAAACCCCCCACAAAAAACAACAACCTCAAAACAAAAACAAAACAAAACACCAAACAAAAAATCCCCAACAAAAACGAACAGTGAGAAAACGAACGGAATGAAAGACTGAAAATATTTGTAGCCCTCAGTTTTAAAAGTAGACATGTTGTAGCCAGTGGTCATCAGATTAGTTAGAGTACGGTATGTGTACTTCGTCTTAGGGTGTAAGAGGAATGCCTACAGCATTGCGTGGCCAAACATGGTGCGTAGAAGTGTGAGTCAGTGGAGCGTACATTGTACATCTGTTACTTTGGCGTACTACGCGCGTGTGTGGGAAATGCAGCGGCAAGATGATGCAGCCAGTGTTATGTAAAGTGACTACACGAATGACAAATTATTCTCTAAGCTTTTTGGGAAATACGTCTTGAAAGATAAAAGCAGTCGATTGGAGTTTTATCTAATTCATATTTTACTGTCTTGTTTTTTGTCTTGTGCTCTGGTATTTCCTGTATTCGTGTCGTTGGGGTGTTCAACGCTAACTCCATTTTAGTCTTTGGACCAAAGCGCATAGTCGTCACCGGTTAGGTTACTTATAAAAAAAACTACTATTACTCTATTGTTTCTGTTTTGTTTGTCTTGCTTTGTCCTAGCACTGACTGGCAGTTATTGTTTCAGTGTGCTTCTCTTGCTGCAAACAAAAATTTGAATCACACCGCGACTGGTTCTACCTTGGATTATCAGTGGTTTCTACACAAAACCAAAACGTCGTTGATATGACTTCAATAGTCTGTGAGCGTAACCAGTCAGACGAAACCTCACTTTCGATTTAAAAAAAAAAAGATTGTACGAGTGCTGTGTGTGTGTGTGTGTGTGTGTGTGTGTGTGTGTGTGTGTGTGTGTGTGCGTGCGCAGGCTCCGAAGCCAGCTCCTTGAGGGTATCCTGTGTGTTCTGTGCTGCTTCTCGTGCGTGGCAGGCACCCAGGTGAAATTCTGGCATCCTGGGTAGAGCTGCCTGAAGGTGCAGCCCGGCCCTGTCGGTTCACACAACAGACTATCTCTGCCTCAGCCTCACCTGCTCATGGCTGGGTGGTTGTTTGCCACTACGGAGCGCTTTTGGCTCCGTCGGGTT